AATTTTCGTCTACACGTTCTTATCCGGGCTGAAGTAGGGGGGGTGGGAGGGAAAACAAAAAAAACAGGCCATCTGTTCCTGCTCCTACCTGGCCTGCATTAGCCACAGCACAGTCAAACCAAAGGCTGTCTGCGAGATTTAGCACTTAAAAAAAAAAAAAGCCAAAATAATCAAAAGGCCTTCAAACGTCACGTCCACCTGCAGAGTGGATAAGGATAGGAGACGCTCTATGCATGTAGCAGCAGGGACAGACATGCACATGCACTAATAATGCTGCTGCTGCTGCTGTTTTTTGTGGTTGTTTTGTTTTTTTACCTTCGACCTCCAAGCACTGACAGCAATTCCTCTCGGTGTGTGAGCATCAGTGAGGTTGTTTGTTGGAAAGGAGAGCGTCGAGGGAAGCGTCTGCATTTAGGCGTGCTATCCACCGGGTTTCAACACCAAGGACAGCGGCCGACGCTACGATTACACACACACACACACACACACACACACACACACACACACACACACACACCAGGAAAACGTAAAGAAAAAAAAAGGAAAGGAAATAAAGCGACAGATTTCTTTCCTGCACGGACGCGTCGTAAGCAGCGACGCGCACCAGCCCAGTATGACGCTGCTGTTTTCAGCGTGGAAGCGCAGGGTTTCACCCGAACCGAGCCAGAACCAGAGGCACGGAACTAAAACATCATCGGAGCAAGAATTTCACCTCAGCAGAAGCTGCTGATGCTTCTTCTTCTTCTTTCTGCTCTTCAAACCCTCCTGTGCCAGGAGACAGCAGCAGCAGCAGCAGGCAGGGAGGCAGACACATTTTTTTTTTTTGGTGGATTTAACCGTAAACGCATCGTCAAAACGGCGCCTTCCCGACGTCCATCCTGCGCTGCGCACCTACCTGCTTGTGCTGGGGCGGGGGGGCTCGAAGAGCTCACATGTCCCGTCGGCCTGCGCGTTTTCCCTCCGCTCCTGTTGACGTTATTAGAGGGACGAGCACCGCTACGTGTCTGCCAGCGCCATGTTATTATCTCTTTTGGAGCGGAGGACTGTGCGGTCCTGTGCGCCACATCCGGGCTGCTGGGGGAAGAGCGAATGAGCGCCGAGCGGGGCGGAGAGCTTGGCTGGGGGGACGTGGGAGCACCTGTACTGGTGCGGCACCGGGGGGCCACTGCCCACTCACACGGACACGGCAAGGCTCACGTCTGCACTGGAGGTTCAGACTGCGAACCATGTGCTGATACTTACTATAGGAGAGTATTTTTAAAAATAATAATAATATTAATAAATACAGGAGTGTTTTTATTCCTTGAAAGAAAATAGATCCGAACTCACAGTAAATATCGAGACCTTACTAAAGCACTGGCTTTTTTTTTTTCAAACGTGATTTTTTTTTTTTCAAAATCAACGTTTGGCAAGAAAGAGGTGGTGTATATATATATATATATATATATATATATATATATATATATATATATATATATATATATATATATATATATATATGTATATGTATGAAATCACTGCAAAAAATAATAATATAAAAAAATAGAATAAACAGAACACAAGAAAGTAAGTAGCTAAACACAAAGGACTGAACAAGTATGGAAAAACCTGAATGGCACTAATGATAGAAAGCCTCCCAGTCCAAGTGAAGACAGGAACTTAAAAAGTCCACCAGTGGGCCTCGGCTGTGTTTATAACACAATCAAAGATGGTTGGCTTCCATTGGAAGGTGTTTAAGGCATGAGACTGTTTAGGCCTCCTGCATTTTTCAGGTTTCTAAAATACAGAAACCTGCATGGTTTCGATGGGCATTTGCCACTTTCCACTCACTTCAAGATATGCACCTTGTGCACGCTTAAGTCATGGTTGTGCTGTGTGATGAAATGCTGAAACGCTTCCCTAAAGCGCAGCGTTTTCACGCAGAAACGCGTGATTGCAACTTGCCACCTCCCCTCCGAGTGAATGGGAGTGAGCGCCAGGTGAAATGCACCCTGGGATCCTTTTTTGGGTTGCTGGGAGACGAATTGAAAATCAAGTTTCTCTCTGAAACTCCTGGTGCAAACGCCACAGACTGAAAACGGGACACGTCTGCCTTCCTCTTCAATCCTCCCAAACAAAATAAATAAATAAATAAAAAATCTCCTGGGAAATGCGAACCCCTGCCAGCGAAGGGAACACCCCTCTGGCTCCAGACTATTTACAGCTGAAGCTTAACTTATCATGGGTTTTCTTGACGCCCACATCTATTTTTCACATTTGGAAGTCATTGGGGGGGAGGAGGAGGAAGAGGAGGAGGAGGAGATCGTGTTCTCTCACCCACACTGCGTATGAGTTACAGAGTGGGATCGGTTCAGGCTGCAGCAGCAGTTTCAATCACGCTGAAACTACCAGCATGTATTAGGATCTCTGGACACGAGCGACCAAAAGTACAGCTTGGTCATGAGAGAAGGCAAAAAGGATGGAAAGTATTGCTTTTTGCTTAATCTGAAAAGTGTGGCATACATTTGTACTTCAAAAAAAAAAATTAAAAAAAACGGTGGGCGTGACTTTCTTCTTTCTTCTCTCAGTGTTTGTCTTGTGGAGGAAACAGAACATCTCGCTCTGCCAACAGTGAGATGTTCCTCTCTCTCCCACCTCAGGGGAAACTTCTCTGTCTCCATCTAGTGGTGGACTGTGGCGGTGCGTCACAGGTGGACCGTGCTGACGGTTCACGTCAACACAAAGAAGAGCCAAAGAAAGAAACACACACACACACACACACCCACACACACACACACACGCCGCTGTCCCCAAAGGAACTGTAACAATATTGTATCTCCCTCACGCTTACTATCTCTTCCCCCTGAATTCATCTTTCACTCGGTCTTTGAGCGCACAAAAGCAAAAAATAAATGAATAAGAATAATCCTAAACGCTGCATGTTTGCGCTTCACTCGTTCAGTTATTGCGCGTTTCGGAAGAGAGATGAAGAGGGAGAAGAGGCTGCAGCCTCCGCCGTCGCTTTTGGAGAGTCCTTCTCCTGCCAGAGCCTCTTCTGCCTCTTCTGCCTCACAGCAGCGCGCCCCGCAGCTCCCTCCTTTGTCTCCCATTGGCTGAACAGACAGGAGAACGTCTCCTGAGAGTGACGTCATCATTCCCCGCCTCTCGCCAACAGGATCATGTCGGGACCACATGGCAGACATCCATCAGAGTGGAGCACTGTCATTTGCTCTCAAGCTGAAACTGTGTGTGTGTGTGTGTGTGTGTGTGTGTGTGTGTGTGGTGTGTGTGTGTGTGTGTGTGTGTGTGTGTGTGTGTGTGTGTGTGTGTGTGTGTGTGTGCTATTCATCAAATTAGTCCTGCAGCTGAGGCCAAATTTGAGTTCTTAGATGGGTGGAGGATGTTGGTCGGTTTGGGCCCTATGGAGGCCGCATGCTGCCAACAATATGCATAAGAAGGAACGAACCCTTCTGAACGACGCTGTCCAGCAAAGTCGTGTGAAACGCTCGACAAATTTTGCAACACATCTTGGAAGAACGTTGATTTCCTGAGGCAAATCAACGCAGGGGAAAACAAATATTTGTGTTTTTTAATTATTATTTTTTACTCCTATGGTTAAAAATCTGAAAGGTGCGGTGTGTGCGTTTGGAGTCGCCGAGGGAAACGCTTTGGAAACGAGTTTTTAGCGGAGTGATCGCTGCAGATTTGGCACATGGAACCATGGAAGGACTGTTTTTCACAAAACGTCTCAGTCTAAATCAGATTAACACGAAGTTAACCCCAACCCTTTTCCTCCAATTTAACTATCCTGCCTGGAACCATTTTGCAAAACAAAAAAAACAAAAAAATCCTTCTCTTCCGCCTTGTAATGATGTAGTCTGACTTTCACATAAAATCCCACTAAAATCCAGTGAATTTCCTTGTTCCAATATTCGTTCAGGAGACTATAAACTTCCATTCGCCACAGCAGGCAGATCAATGTGAGAGGGCATTGCTCTCATTGCTTAGCAAGACGGCCATTGTGGCAGCACTAAGTTTCAGTTGTTGACATGAAGCCAAGAGGCTTTTAGACTCAGAGATGACAGCCATCAGTGACAGAAAAAGGTTTGCGGTAAACGTAACGTAAAGCTCTCCGTCTGTAGCTGAAAAAAAACAACAACAACAAACAAAAACCAGCAGCAAGACCCGCTGGCTGCCAGATTATGTCGAGCATTTGCAGTTTCAGACATTCTTCCAGCTCAGATGACAGGTAATCTAATAACGAGGTGATGCGAGGCACATTCAACTGCGTGAACCCACGAGTGTTGTTGTGATGCCGTTCCCATGGGGACTTATTGGATAATCGCAGGAAAAATGTACCTGCTTTGAGCCTGACCCTGCGATCGCTCATGGTTATGGAGAGCAGAGCGGCGCTGCATGGCGGAGAGAGGCTGGCGGGAAAATGTTGAGCATTAAAGCAGAAGTGGGAGTTTTACCAGAAGGGAAACTATGAAATGAGTGTGGAGGTGAAACAGGAGGTAGTGTGTGACCTTTGTAGCCATCAGTGTGTGTGTGTGTGTGCGAACACACACACAAGCATCCTGACTTCCTCGTCTATCTTCGGTAATTGCGTTACTCTTCGAGCGTTTCACAGTCTCATGACTGCTCAACGGAGAAATGGACCGCCGTCAGCGTGAAAAAAAACAAACAACAATCCATTGTTCTGTTTTTTAAGACTTGGTTTGGTGAAATAAAGAGAAACTTTCTGGAAGAACAGTTCAATTTTGCCATGTTTACATGATTCACAGCACGGCATAAAAAGTTGTACAGATTCTACTCAGCTGCTGGGTTTTTTTTTTCGTTTTTTTTCTCTCGGTGCGTACATCTTTCCTTTATGTCAAGCTTGAACACAATGTGACAACTGTTAGGCTGTGTGTAAGATAACAGGAAAGGTGTGTTTGCTGTTGCAGTCTGACGGCTGGATGATGGGATGATGGGGTGAGGAGGAGTCTGCTGCTGAGACTCACTCGCTATAAAAGGCTCTTTCTTTGGCCAGAGCCAAACATCCTGCAGCCTGCTCCCGCCTGGACCTGAGGACCAAACCCAAACCAAGGTAACCGTCGCTCTTATGTGGTTCTGCTGCAGGTTTCCTACAAGTCTGGTGAACAAACTTTAAATCTGTTGCGTTTAAATTCTCCATCAAAATGGAGATTTTGTCAATGCACCAGTCGTAGATAAGCTGTCTAAGCATCCGTAGAGAAAGATTTATTTTATGTTGCTGACAGGGAAGAAACTAAAGGAAAGCAGTGGCGACATAAATCCAAGCAACTAAGATCATTACAGTGAGAGCGAAAATGGAAAACAGAGTAAAGACTACTAAATAAAAGCACATGAATGGCAAAAATATAAAACTTAAGAGACAAACTTAGGGAATATAGCATGTTTGAAACCAAATGTACATGCAATGTTTAAAAAGACACATAACCAGGGCTTTTTTTTATGTCTCCTGCAGACAAAGCTCTTCCTGTTTAGGTCAGGTAATGTTACCAATTTCTATTTCGTAAATAACAAAATGTTGAGACAGTTTTTTTGTTGTTGTTGTTATAACCAGAATAAAAAAAATATGACATTTATTTTTTCATATGCTTCACTGACTTCTTCGTTTTTTGTTTTTTTTTTTTGTTTCTTTTTGATTGTGAGAGCTAACAAAAGCTAAAATAAATCAACTGAACTTATTATTCTGACAGGCAGCATGGATGTAAGCAGTGCATCAAACTCTCAGATCCCCACACTGGTAAGAATGACACGTTTTATTTGTTAGTTTGGGGGTTTTTTTTACTTCTTTTTTCAATCCCCCTCATCCTGTGAATAATTGTTTGCTTCTGTTTGCATCTCCAAGTAGGTTTCCTCCATCTTGTCCACTCTGTCTCTTCCGCGTATCTCCCTGCTGCCTCCTGACCCTCCTCTCTCTCCGTCTTCCCCCTCTCCTCCGTCTCAGCACGCGGACGCCCTGTGTGGCGGCTGCCCGCCCTCTGGTTCTGCTCCGCAGTCCGGCGGCCTCTGGCCCACTCTGCCGCCGTCCGGGGCCGGGTTCCCCGCGTGGCCCGGGCAGCCCACCCAGCCCGTCCCGTGCTGGACCGGCCAACCAAACACCGCCTGCTGGCCCGCTCCCCAACCGGCTCCGGTTTCAGTCCCCGCTCCTATTTCAGTTTCCGCACCGACTCAAGTTACAACGCCGCCGGCGCCGACCGCCACCTTGGTCCCAGCGCCAGTTCAGCTTCCGACTCCCGCAGTCCAGCAGCCCTGTCAGCCATGTTGGCCTGCCACGCAGTACCAGCCGTCCCAGGTGCCGGCCCCGGCTCCGGCCGCCGTCCACCCGGGCTTACCCGGCTGGCCTGCTCACCCTGGCTGGCCTTACAACCCGGGGCAGTCAGGGTGGCCCGGACAGAATCCGTCCATGACGCCGCCCCACTGGCTTCCCCCTACATCTGGACCAATGGTCAGTGAATACAAGGCGTCCAGCGAACATCTGCATTGCTGTGCTGCCCTGATGCTTTCTTATGCTTCTCTCTCACTGTGCAGAGTGTGCCGTACAACTTAAACCTGGCTCGAGGAGTATATGACAAAATGATGATGACAATCCTGGCTTATGTCAAACCCAATGCCAAAATGTGAGCCTTTATCTGATAATTAGTGCCTTGTGGGAGAGTTCACAGCTCATTTTATCATGCTGCCAACACATTTCAATGCATTTCGTTGGGATTTTATGTGATGGACCAACACAGACACCCAAAACACAAGATGTACATTCAATTTGAGCCTGTGTGGATGACCGCAGGTGTAAATCGAACGGCTATTTGAGGCTGACCGCGTCTTCATTTGGCCCAGAGAAACATGCTGGAAATTGATCTGGTGCCACCAGTTTCTAAACGAAATCTCATTGCGTTAATCGTTTTTCAGTCACGTTCAACCACATCTATGTTTGCACTCTTTAAAATCCAAACTTGGCAGGGTTCGTAGGGAAAGTTAAGACAGCATGCATGAAGGTGCCACCGCCGCGTTCCTCAGAGGAGGATGGTGTGTTCGGTGGGATGTGCAATGTTTCTCCAGCTTTTCCCAGAAACTGTGACCAGAGCACCTTCCTCTGCGTGTTTGTTTCGTCCCCTACATGAGTTACGGCAAACTGTAAACTAGGATTCTCAGGGCTTTCTTTCAAGATCCTCCTGTCTTTCAACAGTTTCGTGACCAGTTTATATAATTTTGAAGGTATTTATTCAACTGGATTTTAAAAATATATCAAACAGAACCGCATACACTTCTCTTCTGCGCCTCAGGATCAGTACATGTTGGTCTACCTCATTAAATCCCAAATGTAAAACACAAAAGCATGAGTGGCCAACATGACATTAAACGACGTGCATGATTGCTGTGCAACAACGTTTAAATGTAAATGTAGGGAATGACTATGAGCGGCCTGGTTCCCCCTCCCTTTAGGTTCACAGTCAACTTCCTGAGAGGCAACGACATTGCCTTTCACATCAACCCACGCTTTAACGAGGGGGGCAAGCAGGCGGTCGTCCGGAACCACAAATTGGGTGATCGCTGGGGCCCAGAGGAGAGGGACCTTAAGGGACCCTTCCCTTTCGCTCCTGGGAGCCCGTTTGAGGTGAGAAAATTCAAGTCAGGGGATTTAAGCGGCTCTGGATCATTTTTTTTTTTACTCCTCTAAAAGGGTTTGTTTGTAATACTATACCAAACTGAATGAGATGCTGCTGTCATACATCAAAATGCAGCAATCTTACTCAACGACACACTTCTGATCTCTTAACTGCCTGCAGAATGAGAAAGATTTTATCGTTGAAAGTTGAAATAGGCCATCATTGCCAAACAACCTGTAACTGACTCCAGGTTACTTTTTCACGGTTAGCGTCAGGCTAACGTTTGGAAAAGGTGGAAAAGGTTGGAAGGTTGTTGGTGCAGCCAGACCCTAGATAAGACTGCTGCTTTACTGCAGGGAGGCTCCTGGAGGTCAGTGGGGCTCTCGTGTAACGCGAGACATGAATATTAATCACATGTAACAACCAGGAGCCGTCTGACCCGAAGACGCCGTGTTGGTCTGAGGCCTGTTGGTCAGGAGACGACACAACACACCGAAGCAGCGGCTCGGGTGTCTTTAGATGCTTCGCTTTCACCAGGTTCACTGTTGCTTTGTTTTCCTCCCCCAGATGAAGATCCTGTGCACTCCCGAGACGTTCAGGGTGGCGGTGAACAACATCCCGCTGTTCGAGTTCCGCCACCGCATCCGAGAGCTGAACCAGATCGACCGGATCAACATCCTGAACGACGTCGTCCTCACCTACGTCAACGTGGAGACGCTTCCTTAGGGAACCCGCCGCAGATTTTTTTAACTACTTTTCACTCGGAAATAAAGCACGGATTGTCGGCTAAGTTTAAGAAATGTGCTTGAATCGAAACGTTTTTTTTTTCTTTGCAGATTTCTGAAACAACTGACTAAAAAAAAAAAAAAGGTGAACAACTTAGATTGTTTTCAGATTAACCTATTTGTTAATCTGAAAAAGAAAAAAATTCTAACAGCTTTGTCTGTGTTCACTTCTAGGGGTCGGCATGAACTAATGGTAGTATTGCTTTTTAATGATTTACCATTATATGAATATCCAGGTCTTTTCCCAGGTTTTATGACACAAGTAAAACAAACTTGTGGTTTTTTTTATATTTTATTTTTTTGTTATTGTTGTTTTTCCAGATAACAATCCTGGACAAACACTAGCAAAAATAAAATCTTGCTAACCATAAAAAACGTAAATGAAAGTTGAAACAATGTCGTTGAATAACTGTAAAATAACTGAATATTTGTTGCAAAATCAATAGGAAAGCATCAAAAATGTGCATGTTTACTTTGCTAAATATTTTAAGAATTTTTTTATATAATACTTTGATGATTATGTACATTTGTGTTACACATAGCTGCAATAAGTACAAATTACTGCCTTAGTAATGGATTTAACAATTTATTGCATCTTTATTTTTCAGTTTGAAGAGTTTGTCCTAATTGTTGACATTATATTGTTTATTAAATAAAACGTCACTAACTGAATTTATAACGTGAATCTTGAATAAAGGTTTGAGCAGGAAATTGTTCAGTTTTGTTTATTTTTTTTAAGAGAACAAGCTCTTTCATAAAAATACAAAAAAAAATCTAAACAAAATTAGACGATAGGATTTTGACAAATAAAAGTAGACATTAAACACAAATGAGACAACACATATATAAGTAACATTAGACATCCTGTTGGCACAAAATATATCAAATTGACGCACACTTCACTTGCTGGCAAATGAGTCCGGAATCATTACTAATTTTTTATGAATCCATTCCCAGTCAATAACAAAACTTGTTTTGTTTTTTTCCTAAAAAAATAAATAAATAAAAAATCTGAAATATTTACAGGTCTGTAAATTACAGTGACATCCTGATATACTAATTTTCTTTCAGTTTATCCCAATAACCTTTTTTCAAATATGGTGTACTTTATGATGCTTTAAAGATTTAAATGATCGGTAAAAATCAAACCATCTGTCATTAACAGTTACAGTCTCAATTCATCACGTTGAGCACACACTGACGACAAATTAGGGTTGAATAAAAAACCAGGCACTTTTACGGAAGAAAACCAGTGCTTAATATCCAGCAGTCGTTCTACCAGCTCCACGTAAACTATTTACATTTTTTGTGCAAATGTGCAAATAGAAAAAGGTGCTGTTCACGTTCTGTAGTGTCGCTCTGGTCCGTTCAGGTCTTGGTGTCCAGCCTCCTCTCCACAGACTTCAGCAGCAGCTCGGCGTACTGCTCCAGCAGAGCCAGGGCCTTGTCTCTGTCGCAGTTTAACACGGGGGCCGCCTGGGGCCCCGAGGAGCCGAGGGGCAGTGAGTCCAGCTCGGCCTTGACCCTGAACAGGGCCTCTGACAGGAGGCCCATCATCTCCTGGTGGTCCGAGCGCCGAGGCTGGTTGCTTTTCAGTAACTGCGTCAGGAACACACATTAAACCAGTCAAACTGAATGTTCTTCATATCTTCTGTTGTTTTTTTGTTTCTGTTTTTTTTTTGTTAGATTATAGATAGAACACCAAGAGTGTGTTCATCAATTCAGATGAAAAATATCTTAAATGAAAACTCAGTGTGGTAGAATACTTTGACTTCTTAAATCTTGCAGCAATGCAAGATGTCTAGGAATCAGAAAACAGAGACCCCTCAAAGCACAATTTTATAAACTGTCAAAATGAAAAAAAAAAGGCAATATAAAAAAAGGCATAGCGAGAAATAAGCAAATAAAAAAGACAAAGTACATCTCTCCAAGTGTTTAAGTTGCAGGCAAGCGCCAAGTGAATTCTCTGGGGAAAGGGATGATAAATCGGACGGTGATAGTTTTAAATATACAGAAATCAGCTGAGATGTGTTTGCAAAAATCTGATTCGAGGCAATGAAATTAGGAAGCTTGAAAAGCTCAAGTGTGCTCAATACAGGAAGTGAGCACTTCGGCTTCTTTCATTCGAAGACGCAAATAAAAATCAGGTCCAAAATATCAGATAAATTCAATTTAGTTTCTTTAAGAAAACAATCCATCGCTGAAGTTTTCACTCGCAGTTTAATATTTTTATTTGGTTACTTTGACCGTCTTTCTCACTCCAAGCCAACTTACCGCCGTGTACAAAACGACGGCTTCCCTCAGACTCTGTCGAAGATCGGTGACGGCTTGCCTGCACGTCTCCAAAGTGACGGAGTGATCTGCAGCGAGAAGATGGAGAGAATGACTTTCACGATTGTCACAGCGTGCGGCGAGTCGGAGCGAGCGCACACGCAGACGCGGTACAACGCCTGCACAGAGGCACACTCTGCCACTGAGCAAAGCAGAGGAAACAGAGAGGGAAAAGAAGTGGCTGTGTGAACGGTGGGAAGAGTGAGAACAATTGATTTTTCACCCAATATCTTCCAGAAGGATGCAGTTATCACCGATAGATAATTAAATATTTCAGCATATGGGTTACGTGTGGATACAAGAACGTAAGGTGGCACGGACGCTCCCAAAAGAAAAAGAAAATTGTGACCTGCGGAAAAATTCAAGATGGCAGCCATTTTTCAAGATGGCCGCCATGATCTTTGAGGAAAATTTATTTTTTTCTAATTTTGCCAGTGTATCACAGATGAATGTTTTGGTGGGGAAATAATTCATATTTGGACCCATTAAAGTAATATTTAATCTTTTGATTTTTCAAGATGTCCACTACTGTTGACATGGAAAATACTTTTTTGGACTAAAATCGCTAATTAGATCAATGTGTTTGGCGTCATGTCAATCATATCTTTGTACCAGAGAAACCACATACATTCCTTTTTCTAAAAGGACACCATGCTTGTAATGGAGATTATGTTTGCTCTAAAATCGGCTGTAGTAATTAGCCACAACTAATCATGTTAGGTTCACTAACCACTAATTCGCTAAACAAGAATCTTAGGTCCGCTTTTGCTAAACTGTAAAAACAATTAGCAGAAAAAAATTGTAGCAGATGCTAACGCTAACCACTAGGACGACTGTGGGTGACTGGTGGGACATCGTATGAACAGGATGACCCAAGTCAAAAACATGAAGTGACAGAAAGTTCATCCGTGTCGTGAAAATGGGAAACATTTTATGGCAGTAATTGGTTCGAAAGGCTCAAAGATGGTGGACATCTTGGAAAATGGCCCTCATCTTGAAATTCTAGTTGCTAATGAAAATATGAAAAACAGGAGGGGAAAACATGCAAATTTCTATGCTTGTATCCACACTTAAAATATTTTTACAGTAATATGCAGCGCTGTTAGTGGCACTTAGAGACCTGAAACTGAACACAAACTCTTGCTTAAATGTGTCACCTGAACAAAGAGGAGGCATGAAATGTCTCCTGCATGCAGATTCTGATATAAACGAGGCTCAGTCATCAAAAATAAAGGACGAAACAGAGGGCACAAACAGACTGCAGTGATGATGAAAATCTGAAATCTGAGAGAGCAAACCTGGCTGTGGGCTCAATGTGCAGTCTTCTCCCAACACCAGAGGGCGCTCTTTAGCCACCTGACCTCCCTCAACACTGAGAACAAACGTTAAAAGTGTAAGTTACTTACAGATGGGATGCTGATCTTACCTGGAAATTAGCTTACCGAAAAACAAAAAGGGAGCTTTTCTCACATGGTGTCACTTTACAGCCACAAACCTCTTTTTATTGGGATTTTAAGTGACAGACCTTCAGAAAGTAGGACACAACTGTGAAATGATGCATAGCTTTCAAGATTCTGTATCATAGGGTCGATGTCATGGGTGGAAGGATGGGGGGGAGGGGTTATCACAGGAAATTGATGGGAAGATCGATACCAGGCGGTCCTGTTCAAACCAAAAGCACTCAACACTTCTTGGATTTCTGAAACCACAAATATTTTTTTCTTGAATGTCACAATTTTGAACTAGTCTCCTTTGTGTTTGCCTCACACAAAATCCAAGAACAAAACGTGGAAGTTTGCAGTTGTAATGTGACAAAACGTGTAAAAGCGGAAGAGGCGTAATTGTGTAAGCTTCTTCAAAATCCAGGGAGTTTCATTCACCTCTGAGGAAACGTGTCTCTTTTCTGCCTCACTGGCAGCGAACTTGGTAACGAAGGATCCAAACATAAGGAGAGTTGTCTGCATCGCGCTGAAACCAGGAGAGATACAGACATATTATTAGACATACAGCTCCTCCTGTATGTGTGTGTGTGTGTGTGTGTGAGTGTGTGTGTGTGTGTGTGTGGTTTCCACAGTGTGTGCCTCTATTCTTGTCTAACCTTGTGCTTTATCTGGAACATCACAGCGAACATCTACGGTTGAAGCGGAAGCCCTGAGCCCGGACGAGGAGCAGCCCGGGGCCGGATTGGCGTCCAGGCACAGGCTGCGCCGCGGGCTCAGAGTCTGCTTCGGGAGCGGGATGCGCGACGCCGCGGCGTTCTGGGTCAGACGCCCGGCTGCCTGATGACCCAGTGAGGAGGAGCTTTTGGAGAACGCGCCGGATGATTTGGACAACTCAAACGAGACCGAGGACGGGAGACAGAGGCTCGGCTCCGCCTCCGGCTCGTCGGGTGACCCCCTGTTTTCGGGGAAGCACGGGGAGCGAGGCGGCGACTGGCAAGGCTGGACAACGTCTCTCGGAGAGGTGGGGCGGCTGCGTTTGGCGTTGGAGCTGGCTGTGGGGTTCATGTAGGTGTGGCGGGGCTTTAGTTTGGGACTCTCCCATGGCGGGGGGGACGGCGGGGTGCCGGACGACGGGGACGAGAAGTAAAGGGACTGCTTGGAGGTGGAGGTAGGCAAAAGCAGCTGCTGAGGTCTCTTATGCTGCTCCCTTTGGACACTAGGGGGCAGCGGGGAGTGAGAGGCTAGAAAAGGAGAAATGGAAAGATAAAATTAATTCTTCTAGGAAAACATTTTTTATATTTTACATGCTGGTGGAGATGATTTAAAATTTGTATGTTGATTCACTTAGTTATTTTTTTTCAATAAAGACTAATGTGGAAAAAGTAAGACAAAATAAATATTTAGACTTCTGCCCATCTCAATTTCAAACAGAGTTATCAAAAGATTAATGCGATGACATCTGAACAAATTCAGTTTAAAGATGAAGAAATCTATACAAAAAAAATGCAACCTGGAGGAAACAGTAAGTCTCAATGCAAAGCTACAGCCAGAAATTTAAGAAATGGGATCAAATGAGAAAATCATACAGTCTAAAGATAAGTTCTGTGCAGAGCAGGACTTCTGGAAAGCAGCTGGTATGTCCAGCATGGAGGAGGTCGTCGATGCCGGGCTGGACTTCCTCCACTCAGGGGACCAGGATGTCTTCTTCTTCAGCGGCCGGAGTTTAGGAGGAGAACTTTTCTCCGGAGGCCTACAGAGATGACAAACCGCAGCTCTGAGCAAAACATTTCAAAATAAGCATCCTAAAAACTCCACACTTGAGTCTATGGTTTTAAATGACTGAGGGAAAAGTGTACATCTTGAAGGATTTCTAAAAGGACCAAAAAAGTCTGGGTTCTCTCGTTACCTCTCAGTTCCGACAGCCGTCTTGTCCTCCGT